GAGCTGTCAGCACAGAGCCTGACACGGGGCTCGAACTTTCCCGGAGGCCTTGGCCAAGGAGTGGAGTATGGCCCTAGGAGGGGGGAACCTCGGGAAAGAGCATCAAGACTGAGAGCCCACGGGCCCTAGACCCCAACAGGAAACGAGAGTCAAATGTGGAAGAAGCCCTCTCCTAATTTTGGATCCCCGCCCCCCTTCCCGCGCTCATCTCTCTGGCAACCTGCCTTTTAGTCCATGCAGGCTAAGAAAATTCGAGCGTGGGGCCCCTGGGTGGCTCAGTCGGTTAAGCGTCTGACTTCGGCTCAGGTCATGATCTCACAGTTCGTGGGTTCAAGCCCTGCGTCGGGCTCCGCGCTGACAGCTCAGAGCCTGGAGCCTGTTTCAGATTCTGTGACGTCCTCTCTCTCTCTCTCTGCCCCTCCCCTGCTCATGCTCTGTCTCTCTCTCTCAAAAATAAATAAATGTGAAAAAAATAAGAAAAGAAAATAAGAGCATGAAATGTAGGTAGGTCCATCTCCTCCCCTGCCTTATAAACCAGGGTGTGGGGAGTCCGTACCCCAAAGCTCTCTCCCTCAAACGCCTTCCGCCAGCTCCCGCGGGACAGGTTTCTGCAGTCCCCTCAGCTGGCCTCAGGCACTCGGGGTGAGCAGCCCCCCCGGCCCTTTCTCCTGGTCTCTTGCCCTGGGAGTCCGGGCTGGACAGGCTCCCGAATCCGGGCCTGCCGCTGAGTGTGTGGGGCTGCTGCTGACCTGGGCACTCGGCTCTTCCCTTCAGTCCGCCAGGATCCCAAACATTTGTCAAGGGCCTCAGAGTGGACAGAGCGACCTTTACGGTACACAGGCTGCTGTTAACACACTTCATGGAGGTCCACCGAGTGCCAGGGACCGCGGGGTTGGCCGGGAGGGGGGTGTCTGGCGGAGGGCGGAACAGAACCCAGACTCAAGGAGCCCGAGTCCCAGTGGCGCACAGGAGCCGCGGAGAAGGTGACCTCTGGGCAGAGGCCTGAAGCCGCTGAGGGCCGGCTGGGCTGGGCCAGGCGGCCAGGTGGGTGAAGAGCCTTCCAGGCAGGATGATCTAGGCCAGAAGTGGAGAAAAGGAAAGAATAAGTAAAGCAGGAAAGAGTGTGCCCAGGGCTACACTGTGAGAGGGGGCCCAGCTTCCCTGCCCGGCAGGTGGGGGCTGGGCGGGGAGTGGGGGTGGGGCAGGATGTTGCTTCCAAATGGGCTTCGGTGGGTGAGGTGAGGCGGGGCAGGAAGGGCTCCCAGCCTCCTCGGGGGTGACTGTGCAGTTTCCCTTCCCAGACCCTGAGACAAGGGGCCTCATGGCTCCGAGGGAAAATGTCCCAACCCCAGCGGGGGGCGGGGGGGGGGGTTCTCGTAAGTAAGTGACCCAGGAGGCCACAGCTCTGCAACTGGACCTGTGGGGAATGGAGGCAGGGTTCTGGCACCTTCTCTAGTGGGCCTGCCCTTGGTGTGAACCTGAAGTAGCACCCCTTTCTCTCCCTTCCGCTCTCCCTTCTCCGGGGGCTCCTGCGGGAAATCTGGGTCCTTTCCGGGGCTGGTGTATGTTTGGAAACAGAGCTGAACTGGCTTCAGAACAAGATGGGAAGGTGGCCATGACCGTGAGAAAGGATTTGGAACCCAGGATGACCCTGAAAAACCGAGATGTTGCCCAAGGGGCCCTTTCCTATCCTTCTACCCCTCCAGCCCTGAGCTAAGCGGGCTGCCCAGGAAGGAGAAAGCTTCAGCCGCCTGGCTGCTCGGGTGGGGACCTGTCACCAGCCCCACCCAGAGATCCAAGTTCCTGTTTACGACTGTTGTCCGGGAACAGCTTGTTTTGATCCAGAGAAATCTGCTGACACACTGCCGGCCCTCCTCCCTCAGGGGGGAGGTACTTTTAGCCTTATTCGCAGAAAAAGAAGGCCGAACCCAAGCACCACATTTGTCTACCTCACTGTGAGACTACCTCCCCCCTCCCCCACCCCAAGGCAGGGCAGAGAAGTCCCTGTATGGTTTTCTACTGTTAAAAAACAAAATTCAGGGGTGCCTGGGTGGCTTAGTTGGTTAAGCGTCCGACTTTCGCTTAGGTCATGATCTCACGGTTCGTGGGTTCGAGCCCCGCGTCGGGCTCTGTGCTGACTGCCAGCTCAGAGCCTGGAGCCTGTTTCAGAGTCTGTGACTCCCTCTCTCTCTGACCCTCCCCTGCTCACGCTGTCTCTCTGTCTCCTAGAAATAAATAAACATTAAAAAAAAAAATTCAATGGAGGAAGTTTAAAGACCTGAGTGGCTGTATTCAATGACTCATGAATTAGGCAACATCCCATCTGACCAACAGAAAGGAGCTTGAGGGAGGTGTACAAAACAAGGGGTTTATAGGCCGAAAGAGGGCGTGACAAGGAGAATATTAGCAAAAGAAAATGGAATGTTTCAAGCAAGGTCACCTTCCTTTAGGCGGAAGAGCGGGGGGCCTGGGAATGCAGCCTCACTGCATTGGGATGATCAGGACATTCCGGACTGGTCTGAAACTGCAGTTAAGTTAGATATTAAATCTTGGTGGGGCTTAGCACACGTGACTCCACTTTAGCCATGTTGTTTATTTAGCCGTGTTGTTTATTTTTAACACTATCTTCCTCCCCGCCCTCCTCAAGGACGTTCCTTTGCGAAACAAAACCAGCTATGTGGAACTGGAGGCACCCAGAGCTTCCACGCAAGGACCCTCTGAAAACTGCCATTTTGTCCTTGAAAATAAAGGGGGTGGACCGAGCAGCTCCAGAGACCAGGGCACAAAGAAAGGCCTTCTGTCCTTTCGTGATGGGGAGTCCCAAGCTTCCTAGGATCCTAATGTTTTGTGTTGCTATTTCCACCTACTCCCACCTTTCTCAAACAGAAAATCTAAGGAAGCTTGTTTCTGGGATTTGGGAATATGTGTGAACGAGGGCGATTTTTAAGTAGAGAAAGGCAAGCTAAGATTTCAGGCTGGGCCCAGGAAGCCACCAACCACACAGCAGTGACTACCACCTCTCAGGCACCTTGTAGCTAAATAAAGGGCTGACCCCACAGCCTGGTACTGTGACGCAGCAGGAAAGGAACTTGCTTGGTATTACACACACTGCACAGCCTTCTAGAACATCCTGACAGGCAGTTCCCTCTTCCCATACTGTTCTCTCAGGCCAAGTCGCTCCGATCGACCCGTCGAAATGTTGCCAGCACAAGACAGGGCAGATCTTGACGAAGGGTGGACTACCATTATCTCTCCGGGGCAGAGGAGCTCAGCTAGGCAGCCGCTGGTAAACAAGCCTGGGCTTGCCACAAACTCAGTCATCAACGCTGAGGGTCACATGAGACTCGTGAGTTTTGCAAGAACCACAGGGAGGGGCCCATCTGCCATCTGCGGATGCCATCTCACTGAGGTTGGGGAAGAAATCTTACCCAGTTTTCCTCGTTGCCAAGGGAGCCTGTTGTCAGGGAAGGTTTTGTTTGGGGCGCGGGTGGTTGGTTACCCTGGGAGGAAAGTTCCCGCAAAGCCTTAGTCTAAGAAGCCACCGTCGCTTGTGATTATCTGACCACACAGTCCTCCTTCCACCCTATATACTTCAGGGGGCTACATGGGGGTCTCGAGCTGTGATCCCCCCTCACCCCGGCAACGAGACACCACCTGTCCCTTGCAAAAGCCTCCCCCAGCGCTCAGGCCTGATGTGGCCTGGCCTTGGTAGAGGGGATAAGTCCAGGGGGTTCTTTGCCTCTGCTCTAGAAGACCCAGGTTGGAGGCAGCAAGCAGGGCCGCCAAGTCTTCAAACAGGCTTCCTGAGCCCCATCACAGGCTGTAAACTACCCTGGATAAATGCAGGTTTTTTTCCAAAAAGTCTCCACGTTTCCCCACCTCCCAATCCAGAGAAATTAAACGAGCTGAATTATCTATATCCTTTTGGTCTTAGAGTCACACAATTATATTAATTTTTCTGCGCAAACAAGATTCTGATTTCATCATTTTGCAATTATTTCTTTTCACTTAAGATCTCATGAAAAATCAAGTAGCCTATCCCAGGAAGGGCGGTTTTCTTATGAAACACCTCAAACCGGTCAGGCCCCTGGGAACAAAATAACAAAACCATAACCCCACAAGCCACTACGCAGGAACATCACGGGGCTTAAGGTTTTAATCGACTTGCCCCCAACCCAATTCCTAACAAACCACCACCACCACGGCAGGGGTTCTCAGCCAGAGATGCTACAGGCGCCGCTCCGCGTTCGCTTCTGCGAGGACTGCCTGGTCCCCAACTTGCGGAAAGTCCCCGTATCCCTTAGAAGGGTCCTGAGTTCGGCCGCGGGGCCTCCGGCCGCCCCGCCCCCACCCGCGCTCCTCGGCGCTGACGTCACCGGCGCTCACTCGGCCGAGCCGCCGCCCGAGGAGTCACGCGGGGGCGGGGCGCCCCGCCGCCGCCCGGTCGCCACCGCCCGAGGTGATGCGTCCTCTGCAGAGATCCCTCCGCCGCCGCCTGGAATTTTCCAGGCGCTCTGCCGGCCCTTCTTTCGGGCTTATGCGGGGCGGTGTGACCTGAGACGACCCCGGCGCGTTTGCTTTGGCCCCCTCGGGAGTGCGGCCCCAGCCCGCCAATGCCCCCCACCCCCCCATGCCCGGTCTTTCAGGGACTTCTGTTTCTACTCCCTCGTGCCCCCCCAAAAAAAGGGGAATCTCCCCTGCGGAATCCGCTTCCCAAATATGACCTTGAAATCTATACCCCGTGTCACGTAGCACCTCTAAAGGGGAGGCGGGGACAACTGAGAAATCCAGGTGGTGGACACCTCGGGAGACCGAGACCCGCCCCGAGTCGTCTCCGTGGGCAAGGTCAGGGAGGGACTCTTTTCCCCTCGCGTGGCGGTGGAGGAATCGTCCCGTTGAGCAGTGCCCCGAGTGATGCGGCCCGGGGCTATAAAAGCAAAAGTTGTGGCCTGTCCATCAGGAGTTAGCGACAGGGAGGGCCTTGGGCTTGGGGGTAGCTGTGGGGGAGGAAGTGGCCAGTTTAGGGCCCCAGGGGGGAGATGACAGGCTTAGATGAGACTCGAGGGGGTTGGGGTATGAGGACCAGGAAGGTTAAAGAGGAAGCTAGATTTGGGGGAACCTATGGTGGAGAGAGTTGCCTTGAAAGGCCCCGCAGTGACCTAGGGGAGGACAGCCTTCTAGGCCAGGCTGTCGCTGCCTCCTGGAGGACAGGAACCTGACCTTCAGGAAGGCCCTGCTCCTGCGTGGGCTGAGCGAGCCCCTGTGCCGTGGTTTGGGTGGAGGGAAGAGGAGAGCAGGAGCCAGAGAACAGGATCTCAGCCCCCTTGCTGGAGAGAAAGCGGAGTTGAGCATTTGGTTCCCTGCGAATGATCAGGAAGGAAGGCAGGGGGCGGGGAGCAGGGCCCAAGGAGGGCTGGGAGGGCAGACTTTGAACTTGTCAATGTCAGCAGCCCCCTTTTTTTTCAGAGGGTTGCCAGCCCGCATGGGGATGAGGCCTGATCTTGTGGATACTGAACTTAGCTCTGCGGGCCTGACAGCTCTGGCCCAGGGTGGTATGTAATGGTGGTTTGCCCTGGGACAGGGTCCAGGCCGGGCCCAGCCTGGTGAGACCCAGGTCTGGGTGTGAGGTCAGACCCCTTGTCGGAGGTAAGGGTGGTCTCAGGAGTGATTGAGGAGGTAGGGTGCCATCTAAGCGGTTCCTGGCGTGGCGCCTGAAGCCTGACAGGCTGGGGCTCCTGAGGCAGGAGTATTTGTGTCTCTGGGAACAAAATTGACCCACGCTTTATTTTCCAGGTGGCAGTGCTCCCCTTTGGACTTTTTTCCTCTAGGTTCGGTGTTAACTTCTGTGAGCTCACTCTGCCCTTCCTCCTCCCTTTAACTCTCTCAAGGTTATCCATCCGCTTAAAACATTGCTTCTGGTAACCTGGTAAGCCTGGGGACTTGGCAAAGGCCTTGAGAAGTTCGGTTATGTCGGTAATCTCGTGGAGGAGGACAGGCACTCCCTGCTGAGGGTGGGGTGGTCTTGCTTGCCTGCGGAGAGGGTGGGGACTGAATGTGCACCCTTGGGTGGGCCTGTGGCGATGGCACCACCCGAAAGTTTCGAAATGCTTCATGGACCGTGGTTTGTTACCATAGCGTTCATCGCGGTGATCAGATGGCACCAGGAGAAAAGGAGCCCATGGCCAGTGTGAGTCGTAGCAGTGCAGGAGGGGAGACCCTGAAGCAGAGAGCCCGCCTAAGTTGATGTCTGCAGATTGAATTTCCAGAGGCTTAGGAGGTGGAAGTTGCTCCGGTGTCCTGTGTCCAGGCCTTGCTCAGGAAGCCCTGTATTCAGGAGGCCACCACTTAAGGTTTTCAGATGAGCTCTTGGGGGAGGGCGATCAAAGTCCACAGCAGATGCATCGGGCCCTCGGCAGATCTGTTGCTTTGAATGTTTGATCCCGGAGCACCAACCCGCAGGCACCCCACCTTTTCTGGGGGTGGAGGTTTTCCGATGCCGCATCTTCTAAATTCGAGCCTTCGGTCATTGCTAGTTCTGGGCTACGAACCTTGCTTCAAGAAGATTCTTAAGCTGTAGGACATTGTAACGTGCCACACGCAGAGTCCTGCCTTGTACGTGAATCTTGCAGACGGAGCCCAGTGACTTGCTCACCTACCCACGTGCCTGCTGCCTGCCTTGTTTGGAGGAATTAGTGTGATGTGTGATGGTCTAACTTGTGTCTGGGGAGAGTGTTCGAAATGCCTTGAGCAAATGCTTAAATGAAGCCTACTGGCAAAATAAAGGGGCGGGGGGTGTCATTGTGTTACGCTACAGTCTGGGGGTGGATCCAAGTTGGTTGTGGCCAAATTCTGTTAGAAATGGCAGGTGTTTGGGCCTTCCGATGGCATCACCAGTAACAGGGGAATGGTTGGGGTACTACTAGTAATCTTTTGATTCTTCCGTGTATTTTTTAAATGAATTTTGGTTGATTTAATTTCAAATCTTCAAATGGTGCTCGCTTCGGCAGCACATATACAAAGTAATCTTCAAATGGAGGACTCATCTGAGGGGTGAGGGTTAGGGGGCACACCTTGGCATTGGTACTGGCAGGTGTGAGTTGGGGTGGTACATGGGGGTGGCGTTGGTGCTGGCAGGGGTGGGGATGAGGAAAGGGAGAGGGTTGGATTGATATGGTATATGTTGTGGAGGGTGGGGTTGGCAGGGAACGTGGGTGGAAGGGGATTTTGGGTAAAACTTGAATATAGTAGACTCCTGGACAAAGAAGATACTAGTTCCTGCTACTGAATTGTTAGTGCTGGTTAAATTGTCTCCTGGAAAGCACAGAAACTTGCTTCAAAACGTTAAAAAGAAATCTTTAGAAATCTACTGAACGCAGAAGCGCAAAATTGTTTTGCCTTGTTGCAAAGTGGGGACGAGGGAAATGGAAATGAACGTGAATGCCAGCCCCGCGCAAGCTGGGGGCCGGGGGCTCCCATCAGCAGTGCCAACTAGCCCTTGCTGCTCCATGAGCTTCAGTGGTTTATATGAAGGTGTGCGGGTACTGGGAAGCTCTTAAGTCTTAGAAAAGACTTCAAATGCGCAAATTGGGAGCTTTTCAAGTATTTAAAATTTTGTGGTGTGTGCTTGATTAGATGTACTCTTAGGGCTTTGGAACATTTCTATTTACTGAGATTTTGTGATTGAAAATTCTGAGCAAAGTGAACATGCAATGTTTTTCATAGGAATGTCTCCAACATCTCTTGTCATTGTGGTCGGTATTAATAGCAGTAAAATTGTTTAGTTTTTGTAACAAAGAATAACCTTTTTATGGTCACTAAAATTTCTGTAATATATAGTGGCAAACGATCCAGATAGCCTTGCAAAGCTCAGAGTGAATCGATTCTATCTTTAGAACATTTGTGTTTTTCAGATTGATCCAGTACTTGAGTAACTCGGCCAAAATCAGTTTGGGGAATACGCAAAATGGGGGTGGGGGGTTTACTAGATATGGTCTGTTTTTAAAATTCAGGGAAAGACGTGAAAGACGTTTATGATACTTGGTTCTGAGATCCATCTGTTGCGTTGGTAAAAGTAATACCAGTGGCTTTCTATCCCGTGCCCCTGACCTTAAGTTTCACTTAAAATTTAAAATCCCCAATACTTTTTACCTCTGGGATTGTCTTCTGGGTTCTTTTTTAATGTTTAAAAATATGTTGGTATAGTTCAGCTTTTCAGCATGACTTGGGTATGATGTAAATTGCTGCCCTCGGAATTTAAAGCGCGTTAGTCACACATGTATGGGGAAATGGGTTTGCGTGTGCCATTGTGAAATGGAAGCTGTTAACACTGGGTGGTTAAAGTACTTCCGTGTTGCTCTGCTGAGAACTAGTTTCTGCTGTTGCATCATGTACATAATTACTAATCATTTTCTTTACAGCACAAATAAAGGTTTGAGTTCTAAAACTCTTTAATTTGTATTGCTATCTTATGTTTCTCTTTTCTGTAAATCAAGTTATCTTAATAATGAAGTTGGATGTATCATTTCTTGTAGATTGAGGCCTAGACTTGCCCTTCAGTGGCTTTAAATAATTGAGGTCATTTAGTGGGGTGTGGTAATAACTTCAAATAGAACAAGTATGACCTGAATGGTCTGCAGCCTGGTGGACAAGAGTGGGTGCTCAGCTCACTGTCAGCTCAGCTTAGGGAGCAGCTAAGGGTTGTGTAAACTGATGCTGAACCACCCAGCCAGTGAAGGCCAGTGTCAAGGTGCTGAGCAAGTACTTTAATATCCTGGAACTTTAACTGGTCAGATTTCCAAATGGTATTGTCAGAAAGGGGACCTATCGTTCCCGTTGTTTAGGGGAGACAGTCTGAAGAATACCACAGACACGTACTACATGTTTTCCATATTTGTGGTTTGGGGGAGCTGGAATGTATTGAGATTTTGAGTCTAAACACATGCTTCTCATCTTTAGTACTAAAGAACTTGGCTTTATTGGTGATAGAGTTTGGGCTCAATTGTGCGCCTGCCCTGTGGAGCAGGCCAAGGTTCTACAGGGCGTGAGTAGAAGCTCTTGGAACCCAGAGGTTGCCTCGTGTCTCTAAATTGACTCCATCCTGGGTGGGGAGGTGACAGCCTCATCCTGGGACCAAAGTCGTCACACTGCTGTTGTGTGTTTATTCTCGAGCCCAAAGGTTTTGCCTCACAGGAGACAAAACTTTGGGCTCAGAACAGAACTGCTTGGACAGCCTCTCTGAAGGCTTTTGTTTGCAAGAGAGCTGAAAGGGAAGTTTGCCTTGGAAGGGACAGGAGACCCGAGATGGGACAGGCCAGTGCTGTGACCACAGCAAAGGGGTGGGAGAGCGTGGCCTTTTAAAGAATTCCTCCGAGAGCAGCCATGGGACTGGCCATTGTCCTCCCTTGTCTAGATGGCCTGCCTCGAGGGTCCTGGTAAGCCCTCGTGTGTCTGCTCCTGAGAAACTGGAGTTGGTGCTGGGGAGGAGGAAGTGACCTGGCAGGGGTGTGGGGGAGGGGGCTCATGGCTCTGCTGACGGTGGGTGGGGGGGCATGGCTGCGTGCAGGTTTCAGGATCCTTTCCCTGCTGGCCACTCTGGTCACTGATCCCCGTAGAACAGTCTAGGCCTCTTTTCCTACCTCACCCTTCCCCCTTCTCTTTGCTTTTTATCCCAGCCCTCCTCCCGCCGCCCTGCCCTCTTTTCAGAACTGGTTTCTCCTTGTTTTTTATATGCTGACTACAAAACTCTTGCTTCCAACCTTGAAGGTAACTGCTATGAATGTTTTTCTAAAAGGCACTGTTTCCTAGCAACCGTGTTAGGCAGATAAAGAATTTCCATAAGCGTGTACATGTTGGGTATTGGCAGAGAGCAGGCAGCTGAAGGCTGGAGCCAGGCCTTCTAGCCTCCACCCAATCCAGGGGCTCCTAGATTGTCTGTGAAAGACGAGCTTTCTACCTGTTCTTCACCCACAATTATGCTCCCGCCAAGTGGATGGGCTGCAGGCGTCCATGAGGGTGTTGATGATTTTTGCTAATCATTTTTTCTTCTTGTGCATAGATCTGAACTCAGCCTTCACTCTGAACTCCCACAGGCCGTGGATCATACGATGAAATTCATTTAGGTAGAAAATGGTGATGTGGTTCAAGTTAAAAGTAATGGGGGCATAAGGATAGCAGAAGTTGCATTTGGAAGTTCGCTTAAAAAGGAGAATGGGTTGAGGCCTCTCCGGGCCCAGGTTGGGCACAGTAAGAACGGCCGCAGTGGCTCGCCTTACAAAAGGGATTGGTCAGTTACCATCGCCTCTTCCACCCTGTCAGCTGCCCTTGGTTTGTCTTCCTGCCCTTGGACATTAAGGGGCTTGTAGGACCGTTTGCTCCAAAGCTCGCTGCTCTGTGTCACTAAGTGTCTGGCGGAAACGTTAACCTCTAGTCGGCTTTGTATTGTGTGGTGCTGATAGTAAATGCAAAGCAGGCTTACAGATACTTGTATGTTTTAACTGTTCATATTTAACAGGAAATACACTGCTGCAGTCTGGGAGCGGGCCGAGGAAGGTAGCAAAATAACAAAAAATAAAAAGATGCAAAGGTGTATGTCCCTCGGAATGTGGCCTTGACTTTGGTCTTGTGGGCATCCTCTCCGCCACCTTCTGGCCTGCTGGGTAGGACACTGCCTGCTCTCTGCTGCAGGCCTCCACCCTGAAGCCCCCTCAGCGCTGAGCAGCCTTTCCTCTCTTTTAAATACCTCTTAACTGAGTTCTTGTGTATAAAAAAGGCTTATCGTGAGGCTTACAAATAAAATTGAGAACGAAAATCATCAGTAATTTTCTCTTATTGGTATATTTTGCTTCTAGGGTGTTTTTACTCTTCCTATGCGTAGGATATGAATTTTTTTTTTAACAAAAATGGGATTGTGCTGTAAATTGTTGCACCTCCTTTCACTTGATATATAGTGAACATCTTTTCCTGGCATTTGAAACGTCTTTTGTGGTGATGTAATCCATCATATGGCTATATTAATCTAAACTAATTTAGATGACAAGTTATAGTCCAGGGTTTTATTTTCTCTTAGGAGGTAAAGGTCTGATGACCTTCACTGTAGCTCACACTTGATCACAGCTGATATTACTTCGGAATATTTGAATATGAAATGCATATGTCAAATTTAAGACTTCAGGTTCATTCATAGTGCTAAATAGCCCTCCTAGGAGGGATTTTCTAAATTGGCGTTCTCATCATTGAGCAAACCTGGCTTTGTCTTCCCTTTTCCACGGTATTTCAAGGTTTTACCGTATTAAAAACCTTAGATCTTTACTGCTATTGAGACCGCATCTGTGGATTGGCCATTTGCAATGGTGTGTGTGCCCGCGAGTGCGTGTGTGTTACTTGGACTTAACTAATTGCCCTTTTTCCTGTTGGTTGTTTTGTAGAAACACTTATGTATTGAGGAGATTAATAATCTGTGTTCAGCATAAATACTTTGCTCGGTTTTAGCTGACCCCTGCACCTTGTGGACTGTGTTTCAGACGTGAAGGAGCGGCAGCGCGTGCCTGAGGCCCTTACTCCACGGTTTCGGCACTTGGTGTTGTGTTTTGATCTCTCTCACCCCCAAAGTGTGTAAATACTCATCTGGAGTTTCTTGTGACACTTATGGCTTACTTTTTTACACTTAAACATGTACCGCAACTGGAGTTTATTGTGCTACCGGTGGGGAGGAGTGGAGGGCTGATGCCCTCTCGGATCCCCAGAGCTTGCTCCCTCCTGGTGTCCCCCTCCCTGTGACTACACAATTGAGTGGCAGAGTTGAGGGGTGTTGTCACACAGTGGGACAGCTCACTGGAGAAGACCTTGGGGACAGGCAGGTATTGTCTCCTAGTAGGGGGCCTCCATGACTCCCCATTACCCCACCGTGTTGGACCTACGGCAAGCCCACCTCCCGGGGGTGAGTGTCCCAAGCAGGTGCCGAAGGATGGAGCTGGGCTATGCTGACCTGGCCACTTGGAAGCTTTATGAACGAGAGCAAGTTCACCCCCGAAGCCTGTTTGCCTCCTCTGGGGAAAGGCAGCAGATGAACGCGTGTACTGGGCACAGAGCTACTCTTGA